GACAATCTTCCATCTCTCCCTGTGTCCCGACTGATTCCCATCTCTATTCCAGCAAGCTAGAGCCTCTTTGATGCTCCTTGGCATAGTCCAGCTTATGCCTCTTAAATTGATGAAAATCTGCCATAACTTCAGTCTCTCTACAATGTAGAAAGAGATGATTTATTGTCTCAATCTCACATTCACAAAAAGAGCACCTAGAGCAAAACTGACGACATCTTTTCATAAGGTTGTCCTGGGTGAGTGTGGCCTGTTTGGCTAGTGGCCAAGTGAAACATGCAACCTTGAAGGGTACCTTGACTTTCCAGATCATCTCCCAGGGCCAGCCACTACTCTGACAGACTGATCTTTGTGATGTCTTGTAAGCTGAACCAACTAAAAATCTGCCTTGCTTGTCTGGTAGCCAAAATAGATTGTCCTCATTGGGGGTTAAATCTTTGTATTGCTCCAGAGTATTGAGTAGTTCAGCCACTCTGTTAATTTCCCAGTCGTTCAAGTGTCTCCTAAACTTGAGATCCCACCCTTGATTGTCTCTCATTTCTCTAATTCTGGATACCTTTTGAAGGCTCAGGTTGAACAAGTCAGGATACTTGTTCTTCAGAGTTTCTTGTCCAGCCCACACATCTTCCCAAAATAGTGTTTTTCCCCCATTTCCCACCTTGATTTTACAGTTGTTTGCAAACTTGATCCACTGACTTCTGATAGACCTCCATACTCCAGTCCCATACGGTTGTGTGGGCATGTAGGTAGTCCATTTGTTCTCCATTCCAAACCTAGCCTTGATTGTCTCCTTCCACAGTGCTTGTTCCTGTGATGCAAATCTCCATAGCCATTTCATCAGAAGGCTTCGATTCTGCAATTTTAGGTTCCTTATCCCCAGATCCCCTACTTTTTTGCTTTGAATGACTTCATCCCAATTTACAAGATGATATTTGTGCTCATTAGGATCACAGTTCCCTTGCCACAAAAAATTTCTCCTGATAGCATCCATTCTGTCAATCACATTTGTAGGCATTGGGAAACCTGACATCATGTATGTAGGCATGGCATCCAACACACTGTTGATGAGAGTAACTCTTCCACCTAGAGACAAATATTTGCTTTTCCAATTCACTAGCTTCTTCTCACATTTCTCCAGAACATTGTTCCATATGCCTTTTGACTTGCTCTTATCCCCCCAAGGGCATGCCAAGGTACACTGTGGGAAGTTCTCCTATCTTTCCCCCCAGGATATTTCCTAACGCATTTATGTTGGGCACCTTATTAATGGGGTAAATGAAACTTTTCCCCCCAGTTGATGTGTAATCCTGAGATGGCTTCGAACAATATCAAGATGATTCTTAAATACTTTAGTTGGCATCTCTCTGCATCACAAAAAATCAGGGTGTCATCAGCATATTGTAAGTGTGATATGGCCAGGCCCTGTCTATCATGCATGTTGGCATTGAAACCTCTTATCCATCCTTTCATTTGGGCTGTTCTTAGCATGTCATTTAGTCCTTCCATTGCCAGAATAAAGAGAAAAGGGGATAGGGGGTCCCCTTGTCGTAATCCTCTCTGAGATGAGAAGAATCCAGAAGGAGATCCATTTATCAGAACGGAAAACTTCACACTTCACAGTCGTGATGCAGAATTTCATCCATTTTCCACCAAAACCCATATTCTCCAAAGTCTTCCAGAGGAATCCCCAGTGAAGGTGATCGTAAGCTTTTTCAATATCTAACTTACGAAGGATCTCTGGGACCTTGCTGATCTTTCTGACATCCACACACTCATTTGCAATCAAAATTGCATCCATAATCTGTCTGCCTTTTATAAAGGCCAATTGCTGAGCATCCACCAGCTTGGAGACTACTTTCTTGAGCCTTTCGGTCAGAATTTTTGATAGGATCTTGTAAATGCTTCCTATAAGGCTTATGGGTCTGAAGTCCTTCAACTCCTTTGCCCCAATCTTTTTTGGTATCAGTGCTATGAAGGTCGCATTGAAACTTTTTTCAAAAAAACTCTGAGCATGAAAGTTTTGTACTGCTGCAACTACTTCTTTGTTGACCACATCCCAACAAGCTATGAAAAATGCCATGGTGTAACCATCAGGACCTGGTGCTTTGTCCCTAGCACATGCCATAACACAATCCATTATTTCCTTTTCACTGAACTGTTCTTCTAGCATGATGTTATCCATCTCATTCACCATAGTACCAGATCTGGCACTGAATTGGGGTCTCCATCTTTCTGTTTCAGCGTATAAGTTCTGATAAAACTTAATGATTTCTTCTTTGATCACTGTTGGTTTCCCTGTGCATTCTCCGTTGACAGACAACTTGTCAATGTTATTGTACCTCTTGTGACAGTTTGCAGTTCTGTGGAAGAACTTAGTGTTTCTGTCCCCCTCTTTTAGCCACAAAGCCCTGGACCTTTGTCTCCAAGCGATTTCTTCCCTCTTTGCATTTTCTTCAAATTCAACTGTGATAACTGCTCTCAAATAAATCTCATCATCTGTCAATTGCCTTTGGTCTTGAATCCCATCTAATTCAGCCAATTGATTTAGAATGCTTTGTTTTTGCAATCCCAAATTTCCTTGTCTTGTTTTACTCCACGAGTTTATCTTTCAAGTATCTTAGTTTACTTGCTAAGATAAAGTCTGACCTTCCCCTAACATTGAATGAGTCCCACCAATTCTTCACCATCTCTTTGAAGTTTTCAGTTTGTAACCACCAGTTCTCAAACTTAAAATAAGAGTTTGATTTTTCCCAGTTCCCGCATTCTAAAATCAACGGACAATGATCAGAAATAACCCTATGCATAGTTGATTGTTTGATGTTTCTGAAGGAAGTCTCCCATTCTTCTGATATCAAAAACCTATCAAGTCTTGCTGCAGAGTCATGTCTTTCCCCTCTCTTCCACGTGAAGCTGTCTCCTACTAGCTGAGGATCTGCTAGCTCCATATCTTCAATAAAATCTGAGAAGTCTAACATAGCCTTATTGAATCTGGTACAATTTCTTTTTTCTGAAGGAAATCTGACTATGTTGAAATCGCCCCCCACCACCCAGGGACCTGAGAAAAGCCCTCTCACCGATGCTAGTTCCCACCAGACCTCTTCTCTCTCTTGTTGGTCGTTTGGCGCATATACTCCAGACATGTGCCAGCTGAAATCCATTGTTTTTCCCATGAATTTGCAAGTGATGCAATAGGCCCCTACCTCACATATTTCCCCCTCCCAAACTCTACCATCCCAGAGAATGAGAATGCCCCCTCTTGTACCACTAGCTTCTAATTGGGCATATTTCACCCATCTGTTAGCCCATAGTTCTCTTACAATATTCCTTATACCCCCCTGCAACTTAGTCTCTTGAAAGCAGTATACATCTGCCTTCAAGGTGTGCAACAGACTCTTGATCAACTGCCTCTTTCTCGCGTCATTGAACCCCCTCACATTCCATGAGACAATATTAATCTTCATGAGAACGATCAATATTGCATCCTCCCCTGCTTCTTGATCATAACTAAAGAACTTGGTACCAGATTCCAAATTTTTTAGTTCCTTGGCTCCTTTCAATTTAGGTGTCTCTGGAATCAAAGTTTTTGTAGCTTCAACAAGGTTGTTCCTCTTACCATCTATTTTCATAAACAACTCCTTTTGAAATTTAAGTTTTGTGTTACTTTTATCAAAAAAAAATAAAATTAAGTTTTGAAATTTATAATGTAATTTTACTTAAGTTTATTTTAAAGATATTTTTTTTAATTTTTACTTTTAAAATTTGCAAGTTTAAGTTTAATAAAGTTTTTTTGTTTTGAAGTTTTTGAGCTTAAGTTTTCAAGATTTGAAATTTTGAATCTTTTGAAGTTTATAAGTTATTACTTATTAATATGTTATAAGTTATACTTATAACTTGTAATTTAAATAACTTAAGTTTGTAATTTTAAAAAATTAAATAAAAATAAGGATAAAACAACGACACAAATTAAAAAAATATCAATTCAATCCAATTTTTTGAAAATATGCCTATATATAAATTATAAAATATAAATCAATTAATAAAAAATTATTAACCGGAACCGGAATAAACTGGGATAAACCGGTACTGGTACACCCGGTATCAAATGGTGATACCGTTCCGTTCCGAGTACCGGTTCACGGTGTCCCATTCCGTCCCGAAGACTATTGAACCGGAATGGTACCGGACCGGTACCGGTACAACCCGGTCCGGTGCCCAGCCTTAGTCTCAGGTGGGGGTACCCGATATGGGTGTGGGTCTAGAGATCGGATACTTCATCACATAAAATTTAGGATTAAGGAGTATGGATCATGAGTTTGGATATCTCGTGTCTTAGCAAAACGTTCTCGTAATATATATATATATATATATATATATATTATATGCATGTATTGTGTGTAGATTTCTCATCAGTCCAAGCCTTGATGGACAATCTTCTGGTACCTATGTTGGTGGGAGGTAGGACATACCCCGTGGAATTAGACAAGGTGCGTGCAAGCTGGCACGGCCACCACAGCTACCTAAAATATTGTACGTATAGATATTTTTCGAAGCACCCGAGGTAAGTTAACTAAATCCGGTGTTGGTCCCACACCAACAAATCATATCATTTGTGTCGGATCGACGCAGGTGTGGCAGGGATTTAGGGGTCCCCGCAACATAGATAAAAACTGAATGAAATTGCTTGAGTACATTCTTTCTAGGGTTTGTTCAAGAGTTACTGAACAAATGATAAAGTGAAATAATTTGTCTTAATTTCTTCTATGTAATTTTCCTTCTCAAAATGTTGAGGGAAATGAGAAGCTAATGTCGATAAATAGTGTTCCTAATCATTGTTCTAATATTCTTGATATGGGAAGGTCCAGTATGATTTGTTGCTTTGTGATTTTTTATCACTGTAGGGGTTAGTTATGTGGTACACCTTTTCTCACTTATTAAGACATTTTCTGGACGGATTATCTGATCTCAGTATCTTCTTGTGTGTGCGCAAATTATTGATCATGCAGGAAACAGAAATCGTATTTTGCAGTGGTTCTCTAATTTTGCTAGTAGTGGTTATGTGGACCATACAAAGGGGGCTAAGGCACTGTCCCAGTTTGCTTTTGTGAATAGAGACATATGTTGGGAGGAACTCGAGTGGAAGGGGAAACATGGGCAATCACCTGCAATGGTTGCCACTAAGCCTCACTATTTTCTTGATCTGGATGTCGAACGAACAGTGGAGAATTTTCTTGAGTATGTTCCTGAATTTTGGTCATCTAAGGAATTTGCCGAGTCACTAAGAGATGGTGATATTCTGACCATTGATAATAATTTTTTTATCAATATGTTTGTTGACTTGATGTACAAGGATAATTTGAAAGAAGTATGGGAAATTATAGATGAGTTTCTGATTGAGCAATCTTTCTCTTTCTTATGTCAACACCTTCTCATCATTCTTGAGGAACAAGATCTAATGGTTTTCTTGGATTTACTCCAAAGTTATGTTAAACCAAGCTTGCAAAAGAAGAATTGCCATGATTCTCTTGATCAAGTGCTGAAGATCATCCTCTCCAAGTGTGATGGCAATAATTCTCTTGATCAGTTGCTTCTCTTGAATGCAGTTGCTACTCAAAGTCGGCAGCTTATACGATTTATACGTGAAGAAGGTAGTCAGGAGCAAAAGGAGAAGGTTAAGCATGTTGTTTTCCAAATTTGTAAACCAACAAACCCTAAAGATACATTTACACCAATTCTGAGGGAATGCTTCAGAAGAAAATCTTTAGAGACTATCAAATGGTTGGGACTGCAGTCTTGGGCTTTCTGCTGTTACTTATCTGAGGATTTCAGAAATTCCAGTTCCTGGGAAAACTTATTTGTTTGCAACAATATAAGCTTCCGCAAATCCAAGAGTTATCCAATATTAGATCATGATCAGCTTCTGGAAGAAAGTGAGTCTGAGCAGGACAATAGATCAGCCAGAAATAAGCGCAAGAAAAGGCAAAAACACAGAAAGAAAAAGAGAAGGGATATTGACTTTGAGGAATTAAATGGGGATGAATTTGCCGATGTAATTACAAATCGACTGGAGTTGCATTCGACATCTGGTGACTGGTTGCTTTCTACTGATGGGTATTCTACTACTTGGAGCAGCGTAAGTTCAAAATACATTGTTTTCATTCAAGGTCTTGCCATACTTTTCCAGTTTTCTATTGCTATCTTGACATTTGACATATGAATCCTGAACCTTTAGGTGTCCAACTCTTCCATGTATAGGCTCTTAGAGCATTTGACATTTGTCATATATAATTTAGACTGTTACTTGGGCAACTAACAGGTTTAAGGATTTTGTCCATCGGTGACAATTTGAATAGCACAAGCATGCTGATTTGCTCATCTTTCTCAGGTGAAAGAATAGGATTTTGAGCAGTGAGTTACATGCATCATGTTACTTTCTGTTAGATCTTTGTTTTATGTCGATGGAAAGAGGAGTGTGGGTACCTAGACAGCCTCATGGGTAAATGTTGGTAGATAGTGTGCAATATCCTTGTTTGATATGTTAAAATTACTTTTGTTTGTGGTTGTCTAATATCATGATCTATACAGGTGGACCTACCTGAGCATATATCAAAACATTGCTTCTTCACGTGGATGAAGTGGGTTTTTACTGAATGAATAGATGATTATTCACTCTTCGCATGGAGTTGTTATGATACGACAAAAAGATTATGGTCATGTGCTTTCTGCATGCACCTTCTGATGGAAGAATTTGAAGGTTTAGTTGATCAGAGCTTCAACTGCTCTCTTTTCTGTGTCCATCATTTAATTTTTCTTTTTTGGGTTTTTCTTTAGGGACAGACTGAGTGATACTACTCAGAATTTGTGATACTTGTGGCTATCACCTAACCTTATTTTGTATTTGATTTTTGAGATTTGCAGGTGGATTGGACAAGTAGCACGAGTGCCGGTTCTTGATTTATCACTCTGGTTCTATGTAGAGGAAGAATCTGTTAAAATGGTTTTGTTCTACGTGATTGCAACTTTCTATTTCCTTACCTTGGAGTCCTGCCTTGTAAGTCAAGTATCTGCCCAAGTAGTGATTGTAAAGGTAACGGTGAGTATGTGGACATTGCAGGTTTAAGGTCAGGTTCTTCCTTGGCTGCTTATGTGCTTCAGGCTCAGCCTAATATCCCTTTCTTCCTACCAAGTCTCTAATGGGCAGAGTTCCTTTATTACAATTTGCCGGTGCCCAGGAAATCCGGAAGTTTCTTTTCCATCTAGTTTAGGTAACAATTAAAAGTTTACAACTACTTCTGCAGGGCCTTATAAACTTGAAAACAAGAAAATAATTAAATTGGCCAGCTTTGACTCCTTTAGATTGTATTCTGACTGCACTCAATTCACCTCTAGATTCTTCGCTTTCTGTTGATCTTGATTAATTAGTTCAAATTTAGTTTTTTTTTTCTTGGTGTGTGTTTAGAGTTATCTTCCTAGACTGTGCGACATGCTCTTAGTAAGTCTCCTTAGTGTTGGTGGAAGTCCTGGAGACAGCTCTGTGTTTCTTTTTAATTCTTTGTGCACTTTGAAATCCTGCATATTGTGCTTGACCCTTCTTTTTTTTTTTGGGGGTCAGATGTTGTGGTTGATTTGATTCGTTGCGCAAAATTCGGTTTATGACCTTTCCTATGCACTGGCTGGCATCTCTGTTGGAGCCAAAAGTCGTGTTGTTGAAGGTGAAGTTATACATTTGTAGTGGCATGGATTGTTATATGGTGACTGGTGAGTAATAACACATGGATTGTCATATGGAGAACAAATAATAGTTAATATGGAGGATAAAAATGATCGGATTGCTATATGGTGAATTGAACATATTGTGATTGTTATTAATTGATTGCTTATTGTAAGTTAATTTTTTGACTTAAAGATGTTCTTATCCACGTATGGCTAATACTTTTAGATGACGTATGGCTTAGATTCAAGTTACGCGAGAATTAACAATGGTCATTAATTAATAATGTGGGTTGTAATATGCATGAATTGTAATGTAAGAATTTATTACGTTTGTATTGTAATCTAGGGTTTGAAATGTATTTTGTTTATTTTTAGAATAAACTGATTAAGATAAGAGGGTAATTTTGTTTATTTTGGTTGCTTTGATTCATGAATTACTAAATCTCGCATTTTTATTCCACTTATTTAGCATAAGATAATTCATACAAAATTTCCTAACTTGCGTAGGAAACAATATGGTTTGGTTTGTATTTCAAGAACTTCTTTTGGTATAAAACTTTGCACAAAATATCTGTTATGTTTTGTTATATTATTTTACTAGTAAATACGCCTGCGCTTTGCGCGACTTCAAGGAAATAAAAACGTGTCCAAATAATTAATGTCATATAAAGAAAGTTTTAAGATTGGAATTGTAAGATGACCAAATGATTTTTGGTAATGAAAGTAAGCATCTTAACCATTAAAATACGGTGATACTACTTGAGGAGGATTTGTGGGGTTGCATTTTCAGGATATATGTTGGATGTCAATATTCTAGAAGGAAATGAATAATATTACAAAGTTTAAGTGTATTTGGACATGATAATCACAAATATATGAAAGTTGTAGAATAATATCACGCAACTTGGAAACAATATCCTTTTGGAACGAATCAAAACCTTAAATTGGGTTTCATCAATCTCTAACTCACCATATGTTTTCATATCTTAAAGAAAGAAAAGAGTGAGGAGTATTGTTTGACTTGAACGAATAGTAGAACTAAAATTGTAAATTTGTCTTGTTCCTCTTAAGCCTTTTGGTACATTCACTGCTATCTTGGAGACCTACAAGAGAAACATTTACTGCAAGATCCGAACCTCTTTGGCCTCCTACTTCTTGTTTTCAATTGTGAAAGTTGCACAATATTAAAGAACTATGTTAATTGATAGCGTCAATCAACTCAGTAGGCTGACTGAATTTGCTAATAAATAGGTTTTCTTGCATGAGCAACAAGTTGGTGTAAAAACTCAAGCTCTTCAAAATCATAAAACAACATAAAATAGAAGCTACTAGTGAAAGAAATAACACTAAACTTCGGAACTCAATTGGCTGTATTTTATAGTTTAAACATCTCATGCATGGTTGAAGTAATAGTCAACACTACCAATGATGTGCAATTGTCCTACCTTATTTCTTCTCTTAGTTACTCTTTAGGGTAGGAGGGAAGAGGTTTTTGCTAAAAGTTGCACAACTTGCAACAGGGTGGAATACTCTGGAAGCCATAGAATAGGTTAGTTAAGTCTCTATATCTAGCTTTGAGCTGAATTTTCTTACAAGGGCGTGCCCTAATGGTCAATGAAATGAGAGGGAAACCACGAAGTTTCAAATACAAATCTTAGTGTAGGAATTAAAATCCATCTATCAAAGCCCACTCAATACCTGTGGATAAAGGGATCGGTGGAATAGTCGAGGTATACCAACAAAACTATCCTAGAAGAAACTTTTGAAATAAGTAATTTGTAAATAGAAAATATACGAAAAAACAGTAAGGAGTATGAATACCTTTTCAAATTCCCGCCCTTTTCAAAATGTATTTTATGATGGTTGTAGGATATACCTCTCCCTACATCTTCTCGGAAGTAGTCTTTGAAACTATTTGATGTAATTCTCAAAAGGAATCACAACTAAAATGCGGAAACAAAAAGAAAGATAGAAGAAGAGATACAAGATAAGAAACAATTGGCAACTAAAGGATGTATTAAATCCTATAACCTCCAATTTCAATCCTAAACAAGCACCTAATCCGGATAAATAGATTGACACAAGAAAAGGAAATCAAAAGCAACCTAAAGGTATATTAAACCTAAAGACCTCAATCGATTAATCCACAATCAAGCACCGAATCTCTTACGAAGACCTCAAGGAAATTCAATCTCCAAGCAACCCCCGTTTCTAAACAAAGTTCAACAAAAGCTTTACCAAGTTCTCAAGTCTCTCAAAGGAGATCCAATTCATCATTCATCAATATTCAAAATAGTCTACCTAAAAATGAACCCTAAATTGCCTATTTATAGTTTTAGGCTATTACATCATAAGAGGCCCAAAAGTGACCCAATAAGGATAAAGGGCGAGCTGGGTCGGGGCTCGCCTAGTGGGCTTGGCGAGTCGCCGACTGGTTCGGCGATGGAACCTTCTCCCTTGGAAGCTTGCTGTAACTTTCAGCGGTCTTGGGGTCCAATGGGTGATGCGCCGAACGGTTCTTGCTGCTCGCCTAAAGTAGCAGCTCCAATCTTCTTCCCTGCATTTCCCCAAGCGATCTTCCATGCATGGGAATCTCTCCTTGCCACCAATACAAGCTCAAGAACCCCTAGCTTCATGCACAAACCTTCAATACATTGAAGTTCTCGAGCTTGGCTTCTAGTGAATGGACTTGAGGCAATCTGTATTGCATCATTCTTCCCTTCTTAAAAAGGATTCGTCCTTGAATCCAAACCTTACAAAACCATAGGGAAAGCAAATAACAACAAGATCCTCATGGCATGAGGGTTAGCCATGACGGTTAGCGTTAGCAATAACTATTCTATCACCATGCCAAGGATGCACAAACTTATCATATAACCAAGCATCAAAATGATCAACCAAGGGTTTGTAACACACCAAAACAAGAGATACTTGGCTACTTAAGAAAATTTGACAAAGGGGTAAAGTGAGGGAACCATTGTTCTTAGGCAACCACACATGTAAACCCTCATTGGTTCCATATTCCAACAAGCACAACTCCCCCTTTTAAGTCAAGTAGCACGTGAATATTCTCATACCTAAGTGCAAAGGCATAAATAATGTTAACCCAAATTAAGGCTCCATCCAATGCACTATCTAGCTTCGAGAATGCAGTTATTCCCAATTCATGAGTGGGGTCAAGTACACAAGTATTCCCCACGCTGATTAGTAAACATCCTTCATTCAAGCACATAGGTTCAAGTAATAACACCAAGTAAGAATCATAAGAAAGAAAGAGGGTGTTACTACCATACCCATCACAATTTAGACCAACACCGGGGTCAAATGGGAAGGAAAAATATCGCATCGAGTCAAGGAGACTCTCATTTGCCCCATTGATTCCACTATTAACATAAAATTGAGTACCCAGACAAACATGAGTATCATCATATGCAAATAGATAATAGAGAAAGGTGGCATGCACACTAGGGACATCTAAGGTGTTCCTATATGTAAGATCACAACTAGGTTCAAGGATCATAGCACACATTACACTACAAGAAGGAACACACAAAGGCTTCATGGAAAATTTAAAATAAACTTCACCTTCTCTCAACAAAGAACTCCTAACCCCATAAAATGTACGACCAACAAGATCATACTCAAAGCAAGAACAAAGAAAGGGGTTTAGGAAACTAACCTTCCCCATACACAATGTAGGCTCCTCAAGTGGATTGTAAACCCTCAAGAAGGACTTTCCATCGTAGGGAAATGTGTCAACAGATCCATCTAAATGATACTTGTCTTCTTGACCAAGCATCACTACACAAGTGCCGCAATTCAATTCACTACCGGGGGTCAAATGGGAAGGAATTCCATGAACTTGGATTAAGTACTCCCCCTTTTTCTCGATTGACACTCTTATCTTCTAACAACACACTTCACTCAAAAGCGTGAGCATCATCATATGTAAACAAGTAATAGAGAAAAGTGTCACGCAAATCAACTTCCTCTAAGGTGTTTTCATAGGTATGACTACTAATAGGTTTGAAATCATGGGTCATACCATTAAGAATTGAAACACACCAAGAAGAAGAGGTAATGGGAAAATAAACACCACCTTCCTCTTCAACACAATCCTTCTCCACAAGAGTACTCTCATCTTCCAAAAAGAGATTTCCATCTTTGGGAGGAAAAGCTTCACACCATAGTGGGTTACTATAAAAAGTATATCTATCAAGAACTACACTACTCTCATGGTTCACACCACTAAGTACATCACTAGGAGTGATTTCATCATCTTCAAACAAGATATTGTACTTAAAGAGGGAATGATCAACCATCATGGTAGAATAAAACATGCAAGTTCACCCTCAAAAGGACACATCATTTTTCAAAGCATTTTCAAGAACATGATCTCTATGAGCAAAGAAAGCAATCGTATCTTCCACAAAAGATATGCTCAAAGAGTCACTCCTATTCAAACGATCAACATTATAATTAGTATCACTAAATTGAGGTTCCTTAATCACATCACAAGCTCCCTCAATTAGTGAACTACACTCAAATGCAAGTTGATCAAAATAATTATCACATGATAATGAACGATCACTCAAAGCACGGGTGTCAATACTAGGTGGACACAAATCGATCTTACTAGAAGAATCAATTCGGTCATCAATACGATCAACTAGTGTATCCACACGCTCAACATGCACATTATCAACACATGGTAAAGAAACATTAGGCT